TCCAGTCTGACTATTTCCAGTTCTTCCCTGTACACGGTAGGATTGAATCGAGGTCCACTGGTGCTTGGGTGGGGCTAGGGCTGCGTGACTGGCTGGTGGGTTATGAATACAGCAATACATGTTACTCCCAGGCTAAAGCATTTAATTGGTGGTGTGAGACCCTCCAGGGTGCTCTTCCCTGTGGCCTGGCACCTGGTAGTAGGTAGGATGGTGGCGGTTGCTGCTACTCTGGGTCCCTGTGTCATCACTCTGTGAGTGGAGCACCTTGACGACCCACAGTGGACGCGCAGCACGAGTGACAACTAAACCTTTGTTGTTTTAAGCCACTGAGATTTGGGGGTTGGCTGTTGCTGCAGCATAACTTAGCCTGTCCTGACTGGTACAGGGACTAGCGGAGCATTCCAGGCAGAGACAAGCAGTGCACGTGCAGTCAGGGCACGCAGGGAGGACTGGGACTTGGGAAGCAGCTAGGGCGACCTTGTGGACATGCATATCTGAGCCTGTCAACCCCTGCCTGAAAAACCTTCAGAAACTCCCTCTGCTTTTAGGAGAAAGACAAAAATCCAGCTGCTCTGCAGTCCCCGTGGGGATACCAGCTTTCGTCCCTCCCATTTGCCATGCTCCTCCTAACACTGTGCTCTTGTCATGCTATTCCCCCTGCCCGGCCCTTGCACTCCACCCTCTCTCTGATGAGCCTGCCTCATCCCACATCTTCCATCTTCAGGGAAGCCCTCCCTGGCTAGGTCGGAGCCTCTCACTATAGCCTCTCTTGGCCCACCTGCCTCTCCTCTGTAGCACTCGCGTCCGTGGCAGTTTGCTGTTTGTTGCTGTAGTTTTGTGGTTGCAGTGTCACCGTTTCATCAGACCGCGGGCCCTGCGAGGTTGGCTCGGGTGCTCTGCACCTGCGAGCTGCTCTATAAGTGCCTTCTGCTGTGTCCCTGAGCGCTGGCTTGTGCCGGGGGCTGAGGGCAGGATGAAAGAACAGCGCTTGCCTGGCCTGTGGGCTGGTGGGGCCCGCCGGACGGAGGCGGCAGGCGTGGCGGGCAGAGTGGCTGGCTTGTAGGGCGCAGATGGTAAGATCCCCGTCCTTACAGGTGCCCGTGTCCTGGGGTGACCGTGTGTCGGGTGCACGAGAGGAAATTCTGCAGGGGCCAGAGGATGAGATTTGGCATTCCCTTGAGGTCTCTGCCAATCTAGAGAGTATATGAGTCGATGAAGGGGCCACAGTAGGAGATTCAGAGGAAGAAAATGACGATCGTGGCAGCTAATGTTTATCGAGGGCCTGTTGTGTACCAGGTGTGGTAAGCATGTGACATACTCTGTGCCGAAAACAGCTCCACAAAGTGTTAATAGATAGTATTTCCATTTTAAAGATGGGGAGGCTGAGGCTCCAAAAGATGAGGTAAGGGATCAAGGGTTAATGGTGTGGCCAGGATTTGAATGGACCCTGGTAGCCTGATGCCACCTCCTTAGGGAAACTCTCTTGGAGTGAGGCCAGAGAACCCCAGCTACTGGGGAGAAGTCCCTTTGGAAACATCACGTGGAGTTGTAAAGCCCTCATGGGAGAACGAGCTTCCAGAGGAGATAATACCCACCCACCATCAGCGTCTGAGCAAGGGGCTTCCTGGCTCAGAGGGGCCTGGTGGCCTTGGCGCCAGGGCTAATCTGAAACTGCCTGGTGCATCTCCACTTGCCGCTGGGGCCGGAGAGTCCTTGGAGGCCCCAGAGCCCCAAGTACTCAGAGCGGGGCCTGGCGGGGGCAGCAGCTGACCCAGGGGCTGTGCCGGAAAAACAAACCATGCAGAAAGAGAAAGAAAGAAGGAAGGAAAATGTGCTGTTATTTTTAAAAAGCCTGCTTCCTATTGCAGATTCATATCTGCGTTGAAAAGGCCAGTGTTCACCCAGTGCAGCCACACAGCTGGTGGCGTCCCCGGGCTACGGCGCTGCAAGAGGCGAGGCCTGGGGCGGTGGTCTCCGTGCCGTTCAGCCCTTCATTCAGTCACCAGGTGGTCAGGGCATGTGTGCCATCGCTGTGCCAGGCACTGTGCTGGGCTCACGGGGTGCAATGTGTGAAATAGTCCTTGTAATAGAACTTACAGACCAGAGTGGGAGGTGGGCAAATAGCCAGGCAGCTACAGGCTACAGCAGAAGGGGGCAAGGGAGACCGCCACTGAGTCTATCTAAGTCAAGGAAAGCTTCCCTGAGGAGGAGACCTTTAGGCTGGGTTTTGAAGGATGAGTAGGAGTTGGAGAGCCGAAGAAGGGAGAGGCATTTCAGCATGGGGCATGGCTTTGTACAAAGACATGAACACAATGGAAGGGCTTGGGGGACTTTGTTTGGCTGGAGAGTGTGTGTAAGGGAGGGGATGGGGAGAGATGAGGCTGGAAAGAGAATGACGGTAATAATAATAATGTGACTAACGCACTAGTCCTGATTCTGCCACAGGGCCTTTGCATTGGTTGCTCCCTCTCCCTAGAAGGCTCTTACCCTAGTTATCTCTGTGGCGGGCTCCCTCACCTCCACCAGGACTTTTGCTCAAATATCACCTTCTCATGGGCACTTTGCTGTTTACAATTGCAACCCACCCCAGCTCCTTCTCCCTGCTTCTTGCTTTTTTCTCTTTAATGCGTAGCACCCATAACATGCCCTATATTGTACTTGTCTATTTTGCTTTCTGCCTGCCTCACTTCATTATAATGTAAGTTCCCAGAACACTGGGTTTTTGTCAGTTTTGTTCACTGCTACGTGGATAGCGCATGGCACATAATAAATAAGGCCTTGAATATTTGTAGACTGAGTGAATTAATTGAGCACTTACTCTGTGCAAAGCGCATTGTATACTTGAATCTCCGCAGCAGTTTCCTGATATCGGTGCTACGGTTTCCCCATTCTACAGTTTAGGAAACTGGCGCTCAGTGGGTGCAGTAACTTGCCCAAGGTTTCACAGTTGGTAAATGGCACAGCTGGGACTCAAACCCAGGCCACCTGGCCCCTGAGCACTCCTGCCTAACCCTGACAGTTGGCCCCGGCCAGGCTGGGAAGGGTCCTGACTGCTGTGCCGAGGAGGAGTTCACGCTGTCTGCCAGGCCACCGGGAGCTTCGGAGGGTTTTAGGAGGAGGAAGCTGACGTGGCCATCAGATCCGTGTCCCAGGAGGCAGCAGGGGCAGCAGCTTGGACATGAGGCTGGAGGCAGGGAGGCCGAGCGGGAGGCTGGTACAGGGACGAGGGAGGACCGGCTGAGGATGAGAGCAGAAGGTGGCCATTCCAGGGCTGGGAGGGACTTGGCTGACCGCACCGAAAGTCGGAGCGGACAGATCGGAGGGCCAGGCGTTTCCTAGGGTGTGCCCAGCTTCTGTTTCTGGGTACCCAGAGGACCCCCAGATAAGATCTGGTAGAGTGCCTTGGGCTGGCCCCTGGGCAGGGAAAGGGACCGAGAGTAGCCAGGGAGCGGCTGGTGGGGTTGGCACTGTGCCCAGGAGTGGGCACAGCCGCAGTGTCAGTCCTGCTTCTGGCACTGGGCAGCTGGGGACCCGGGCAAGGGGCTGCCCCCTTGGGGCCGCCTGTTCCCTCCTCTGCCAAGCGGGCTGAGAACAGTGCCAGCCTCAGGGCTGCAAGGGCGGCTCAGAGAGAGGCACACTGAGAGCAGTGGACCACACAGGGCCGGCTCTGGGCCACCTCCTTGGGTGTGGGGTCAGAGGGCACAGGGAGGCGAGGCCCGGCCATGGAGATCGTCCCGTGCCCCTTGCTGGGGACAGCAATGCCTGAATGTGAGAGAGTGAGTGCACCTCGGTGACCTCTGCACTTAGAGGTGATCTGGCCACACGTTCAGACACTCGTGCCACCCCACTGGCCTGTGTTCAAGGCCAAACATTTAACCCCTCTGAGCCTCACTTTCCTTTTCTGCAGATGGAGTCAGTAATGTCCTACATTCTGTGGGAGAAAACTTTTTCCTCTGTGTTTTCGGGACCAAATCTAAGGTACCGTTATCTCTGGAGTGGTAAGCAGCTGGAAGCCACACGCACTGAGCACCAGGGCACTTGCCAACAGCCCTATGAGGTTGCTTCCACATCCATTTCTGGATGAGGAAACCGGGGGCTCAGAGAGGTTGTGACTAACTCAAGATCACACAGCCATCATCGAATCTTTCCAACCACCTTGAGAAATGCACATTGACAAAGGAAGCTTTAGGGGTTGCCTACTTGTGTTACATAACAATTCCTAGCAGGTTTCTTAGGTACTTTAAAAATAGGATTTGATTTATAGGGTCTTGGTTTACACAATTGGACCCTCTCCCGATGCTGGGAACCTCATGGGTCGGAACTTGTAGGCACCTGTGGACGGCCCGAGAGCCTCTGCGGAAATGCTGCTGGGGGGGGAGGGGCAGAAGGCTGCTGACCACCCTGCTCAGATCAGGGGTGGGTGCTGAGGGCCGGGGGTGTCCCTGCTGCACGGCAGGGACACCTGAGCCTCTGGAGCCTTCAGTGCCTTTTGGGGCTTCCCTTCCCTCCCCCCTTCCCTTCCCTCCCCTTCTCCCTCCCCTACCCCACCCGATCCACAGGGGCAGCTCAGGACTCTCCTCCCAATGGCACCTTCTCCTGAGCCCTTACCATTAGCCCACGAGGCAGCCAGGCCAGCTCTTCCGGCCCCCGTTTTACAGCCGAGAACACTGAGGCTCAGAGATGGGAAGTGACTTACTGGAGGTCAGACAATTTAGGGAGTGACCAAGCTCAAATTCCAGCCCCAAATCTAGCACCCCTTCCTCTGTGCCCTGCCCCTCCCCTCCCGGGATGAGAGCAGAGTGGGGACCCCAGGGAGCGTTTGGCACAGCCTCTGTGCCCCGCCCTCCGCACGGAGAGGGTGTCCGGTCACTGCCTGAACGCCTTTGTGGCCCGGAGGCAGCAGCCCCCGGGTGTGGTTGGGAGGAGGTCGGGGTGGAGAGAGGGGCAGGGACCGGTGGGCACTTTCTCCCAGGCTTGTGGCGGGGTTGGGGGCGAGAGTGGGACCAGCAGGCGGGAGGCTCAGTGTGACTGGGGCACCGAGCTGGCTGGTATGGACGTCACTGAGCAAGTAAATATGGAACCACCCCCACAATGTCAGCTTTCCTGGAGTGGCTTCTCCCACTATCTCTCACTTCCCCGAGGGAAAGGGGTGAGGTCCAGGAAAGGATCCTGCCGCCCGATGCCTGGGGGACGGGCATGGCCAGCTCGGGAGGCCCCAGGACGGCCGGGGGCCGTGGGGAACAGCCCACTGGACCCTCAGCCCCAGCAGGGCGTGAGTGTCTTGCGGGGGCAGCCGACTGGGACCCAGCCAGGGCGGACTCAGCACTGCCATGGCCCAAGGTACAGAGAGGGTGGGCCCTGGGGGGGGAGGTCGCAGGCTGGGCCCTGCCCCTGACCTCACAGCCTAGGCCTTTGTCACCCCAGCCCAAACGGGGGGGGGGCATTTCCCAGGGGGTGGGGTTGCAGGGCCCCTCTTCAGACCAGCTGTGTTCCCAGGGAAAGCCGGACTAGCTGGGGCGGGGGGGAGGTGCTGGCACGGGAGAGGGGGCGAAGAGGTGTCCCAGGGAGGAAGGCAGGGGGAGAAAGGAGAGAAGCCCCTCAGCCTGGGGGACGGGGAGGGCAGGGAGGTGAAGTCTCCCAAGGAAATCAGCGGACTTAGCAGCCAGGGAAGCGCCGACCCCACAGCGAGACATTGGGTCTGGGGGAGGCTGAGCAGAGAGGGAGGACCCAGGGCAGAGTTTCCGCTGGGAGCCCCCGGGCCTTTTGTAAACATCAGGGACAGCCAAGCCAGAACGAGTTTTATAAGTGCGTTCGGGCACGTTCTATTTAACTTTCACAGCTGCCTGTGACGCTGGTGTTGTCACACTCAGTTTACAGAGGTGCAGTGGAGGCCCAGAGAGGTGACGAGACTTACCCAAGGTCACGCAGCTGTGAAAATCTGAGCCAGGATTGGAACCCAGGTCTTCCCGGAGTCCCGAGTCCGAGCTCTTCACCAGCGCATGGGGCGGGTCACTGGTTCCGCAGCGAGAAATGCTGTGGGCCGCCTGTGCTGGGCGGAAGTTTGGACAGATGACTTGTAGGTTCCAAGTTTCTGCCCCTGTGATGCTGGGTGGTGTGTGGAACGTACAGGATGTGCGCCAGCTGTGGCTCAGGCGCGTCCCCCTCTCTGTGCCTCTACGTGCCCACCTGAGAAATGGGCATGCCTGGCACCAGCACTGCCACGCACAGTGTCGCTGGGACCTTCCTGTCCAGTATGTGGGTCAGCAGGTGTTCCCGGAGTGCCCCCTGGGACTCTGGGTTCCAAACGTAAACACACGACTCTCGATAGAGCCCGCTGCCAGGCTCCTCATGGAACAGCAGCACGGTGGCCCGGCCAGTGCCACCGGGACCAGGGGCGCAGGCCCTCGTTGTCATGAGCCGTGTGTGACTGGTCTGCAGCGAGATGGGTGCAGGCTTGGAGAGCGAGTGTTGAGGAACTCGTATTGCAACTTGGTGTTGCCACGTCATCTTTTATTGTATTTCACGAAAGCATCAGTTGGCAACAGATAGGAAAACATATATAAAAAAAAAAAAAGAAGTTGCTTTGCCACAGATAGTCTGAGCAGCTCTTGCCCGGATCCTAGCTGTGATTGAAGGTAGGAAGTAGCCCACGTGCTCATGGAGATGGGGCAGAGGGGAGAGAGTCATTTTGTCCTTGGCGGGTGGGGAAAGAGAGTGTGGTTAGACTTCCCAGAGGAGGTGGTGACTGGAGAGCTGGACCTTAAGGGAGGAGTTTGCCAGGTGGAGGAAGAGGGAAGAGCATTCCGGGCAGGCAGTGTGAGGATCCCGTGGTTCAGGGAATGACCACTGGTCTTGGGTGGAGATGACTGGGAGACAGAGGCTGGGAGGGCCTTGAATGCCGGGCAAAGGAGTGGAGACTCTGCCCCTGGGGTACTGGGGGGCTCTTGATGGCCTTTACGCAAGGGAGAGACACAGTTAGCATTGTGCTTTAGAAAGTCTGTCCTGGCGGCAGTGGACTCGAGGCAGGAGATAAGGTCATGGCTGTGTAGGCGCCTTAAAGGACAGCGAGCCATCTAGGAGCGTGCTCCTTAGGCCTCGGGAGGGCTGCCTCTCGGTGTGCCCCGTGCAGTGTGCTGCTGGCGCGCCACTCTCTCCTTGTCTTGCGAGTCCGCCTGGTGGACAGGCCGGCCGGCCTCTGGCGTGAGCAACTCGGCCTTTCCAAGTTGTCCCGGTCAGTGGGTTGGCACCTGGTGCAGTTGGCTGGCCACAGTGGAGCATTCTTGTCCCCACGGAGCTGTGGCGCATGGACTGGTGGGCGGCCAGGGGGTGTTCAGGTGCAGTTGGGGCACAGTCTAGAGCCCTTCGGGGAGTCTCAGCAGGAGAAGGGGGGCTGGAGTTTACGGCTGAGGTTGGGGGTTGGCCAGGCACTGGAGGCCTGGTCTCTGATGGTGTCCCAGCTAGGGGTGAGCAGGGCACAGGGGCCTGAAGTGGCTTCCTGCATGGACCCTCTGAGAGGCCAGGGCTGAGAAGCAGACACACCGGGTTGAGGCAGCGAGGGGAGGTTATCGTCCTGACCTGGGCCAGCGCAAGCGGGCAGACGCGCAGTGTCAGGGAGTTCCTGCCATGGTTCTGGGCTCTGTCGCAGCCTCCCGTCCCTAGAGAAGCCGACTTGCCCTGTCCCGGGGCTGCTGGGAACAGACCAAGGTGTGCCTGGGCCTGCATGTGGCCACAAGTCTGCAGAGAGTGGGGGCTACCCGGGAGGGAGCTGTGGGAAGCGCCTCTCCCTCCAGCCCTTCCCTCCTCTGGGGCCCCTGTTCAGGGCGGCCCAGCCCCCAGCTCCCTCCCCGCAGCTCCCAGACTGGCTGGGCCCAGGCCAGCAGGCCCAGGCGGCCTGGCCGCTGTGCAGCCGGAGTGCAGGGTCCTGCAGGTGGGGCACTCCTGCCTGTCCCACTTCAGCTTCAGGGGCTAGGAGAGTAGGAGCCACTGAGGTGCCTTGGTCTTGACAGTGGCCTTGGTCGTGCATGGACACACAAGACTTGAGTCCTCAGCCCTCTCTGCATTCTGTCCTGGCTGGCCCCACGCTGGGCTCCATGAGGGCTCCCTGGGGCGGGCGGAGGGCAGGCGCTGGGGCAGCTAACCCACCGCAGCCTTCATCCTCTGCCCCCCCTTCCCCGGAATGACGCTCTTCACTCCGCAGACCAAATGAGACCTCCTTGCTTCGCGGTGGCCCTTTTCCTCAAAGGACACCCTGAGCCTGTTCTGTGTGGCCACCGTGCTCTCTCAGCAAGACCTCCCAGATCAAGTCCTCCAAGGCCGTGCCCGGGGCCAGGGGCCCCATGTAGCCCTTTGCTCGTGGCGGCCTGTCTCAGCTTCTCCTCTTCCTCTTTCTGTGGCCGGCTCTGCCCCAGTTCCCGGGGCTGCTGGTGAGGCAAGGACTCACTGGCCTGGCTCCATGGGGTCCCCTCCCCCCGGTTTCAGGTAGAAACCAGACTCCTCCCTGGCCCCTGCCCGTGGCTCTCTCGCCCTCCCTGGCACCCTGGCTCTAGGCCCAGGGCAGGGGCCAAGAAGTTCTCCTCTGCCCTTTCGGACTTACTCTGGTTTCCTCCTGGGCCCCTCTCTCCTCCCAGAGAATTGCGGGCTCCTAGACTTGTAGCAAGTCTGGCTGCATTTGGAGCTCAGCGTTGCCACCTCCTTTTCCCAGCATCCAAGGTGTGGTTGAGGCATCGCATTTTGTGGGCATTTGTATGGTTCACAAAGAGGCCAAGTGGACAACATCTCATTTCATCTACACAGCAAGTTGGAGAGGTGGCCGCTATTAGCCCATTTTGCAGATGAGGGAGTTAAGGCTCCACAGGGTTCCATGACTTTGTCTTATGGGTCTTATGGGAAGTCAGGGGCAAAGCTGGGACTTAGACCTGCATATCCTGGCTCTTCTCTTGACCTCGTGGCTTGAAGGTAGTGGCTTCATGGACCTATGCTTGTCACATTGTCAGGACCCAGTTCCTGACCAGGGCCCTGGTCTGTTTGGGATTAGGGCTTACCGTGCGGCCCGGGCCGTTGCCTGGGCTCAGTGTTATGGTCACACGCTATCAGCTCCATGAGCATCTCATATCCTTTCTCCTCCTCCCTCCTTCCTGAACTCTTGCCCCCAGTGCAAGTTCCCCCCAGAGACGTGGTCCTTACCCCTAGAGGCCCCCTGGAGCTGGTCACGTTGGCCAGGGCTGGGGGCTACTGGGGGCTGCTGGGACCGAGGGGCTGGGAGTGGTTGGGGAGGCGGACAGGGGGAGGGTAGCTGGTCTGTGAGCCTCCGACTGCCCAACCAGTGTCTTCTGGGGTCACGCTGAACACCCACAACTCCTGGCCTCTTTTTCTCTGGGGTCCGGTGCTCTATGTTTCCTTAAAGCCACTGGACACGGGAGAGTGAGGGCTTCTGCTCCTGTTCCCTGCTGACCTCCTGAGGTTCAGAAGGGGCATCTGTCACCTATCCTTGTGGGATTTAGATTTCCTCTAATCCCCTCCGCCCCAACACCCCTGCTTGCATACCTCCGGCGACTGGTGGCTCACTGGTTCCCAGGGCAGCTCATTGTATCTTTTTTGTTTTACCAAGTTCTAATTATATAAGGAATATGCAAATATATTTTTGCTATAAAAAGAATCAAATATTAACAAGCCAAAGTCTTCCTTGACAGCCACATTTCAGATTCTTCCACAAGGTTAATCATCACAGTTGTTACTTGGGTATATATCTTTCTAGATCTTTTTCTATACCTTGACACGTGTAACTTAGAGGAACATGTATTACTATGACGTGTGGATGGGGGTGTGTGTGTGCCTAAACAAATGATTTCTCGTCGTACAGATTATTCTGCTAATTGCTTTTCTCTCTTAACATTGCATCTAGCAAATCTAGCCATGGTTTTACATAGAGAGCTACCATAATATTTTTTTGTTTTTGACTGATACATGGTAGGTTTTGGAAGGGATCATCCTTCTGGCATCCCCTACTGCTGACATTTTGGTTAGTCCTGATTTTATTCTAGTGCCTCCTCGGGAATATCTAGAGCAGATACTTCTGGCTTTGGGGAACCTTTTGCATTTTTTAAAAATTTATTGCATAATATTTAAAATCCTTCTGTTGGGACTTTGCACAGAACCAAATGTTTCCCTGTGAGTCTCTCACTATTCCTGGGTCTCCTCATTAGAGCCAGAGAGAAAGTCTGCTCCCCTGGGCCCTGCCGGCCCCCAGAGAGTGGGAATCAGTGGCCTTGGGCCCTGACGCCCCCTCCGCTTCACGCTCTGCCCTGCTCAGAAGGCACGGCTTTCAGTGGCTCGGGCGGCTC